AATTATTGTGTTTTTTTTAAGTGCCGAGTGGCATAAATTGGACCAAACAACAAAACTTTGGTATAAACTTTTATTAATAAATTTGAATTTAATTGGCTGTAATTCGGCAGCCGAATAACCCAATTTGGACTAGTATATAAAGAAATATTCAATTTTTTTTAAAATGAAAAAACTTTATTTATACAAAATTTTTATATATACTATATTAATATTTTGTTGCCACTCCATTTGCCTCTAATACCGTATTTATTCTTTTAGGCATAAAAGCAATAACTTCTTCAAGGACTGAAATATCAAAATTTCCATTCTTTTTTTAATGCAGTTTTTAGCTTATCAATTATTTTTGGGAAATTTTTGTACTTCTGAATTTGATCCTTAAACAACTTTTACATATTCTTTATAGGATTTAAGTCTGGAGAATTGGCTAGCCAAGTCATAATTTTTATTTTTTTTTCCTTTACCCATTTTTGGGTGATCTTTGCCATGTGTATAGGTATGTTGTCTTGCTGGAAGATTAATTTTTTTCCTATTATTTTCATAATCAAATATACAAAAGAATGTAGATTATTATTTAAAATTTTAATGTAGACATTTACATTAATTCTTTCTTCTTTTTCTTTATTCACATCACAAAAAACTAAAGGACTTTTTAAATCTTTTACGAAACACCTTCAAATCATTATTGAACATCACTTACTTTTAAATATAGGAGCTAAACAATCCTTTTTAAATCCTTTATTTATACATTGTTAAACTCTTATTTGTTATAACTATTTACCAATCTCGACACAACTTTCATTAGAAAAAATAATATTAGTTCAATTATAAACTGTTATATTTTTGTTATTTTTATACTATTCAATACAAGCATTTGTATATTTTTTTGAAATAAAAGACTTATGTGCTATAATATATAAATAAAAACCAAAACTATAAAGTATACTTTTTGCAATAGACAGACTGCATTTAAGTTCTAATTTGTTAATAATATCACACAAAAATAGATATCAATCATTTGTGACTTCATAAACAAGTGCATATTTTTCTTGCTCATTAAAAATAGAAGGTCTACCTGATCATAATAAGTTTTTGACATTTCCTATTTTCTTGTACTTTTTAATAAAACAGTGCACAGTGATAGGGTCTCTTTCAAGTTTTTTTGCAATTTGCATTGCATTCAAAATCTTCAAAAAATCAAGAATTTTGCCCTTCTCTACATCTGTCATTTGAATATGGTTTGATGTCATTTTTGTATACAACAGAGTGATACAATGTCTGTGATGTCGAAAAAAAATAAACAAACATGATTTTATAGTAGAAAGGAGAAATATTACACATGTAACTATTGGTATAGTAATACATGTAAATTGGGCATTACTTTCTGCAAGTACTGTACAAAAATACTATAATCGAAATTAATAAATAAGTTATGGTTACACGACATATGTTGGATTTACATTGGCTTGTCACGTGACTATCGTCTTATGATTCAAACTGATACTACAGTAGTTGTACAAGTACATCTTAAAAACCAAATATATAACTACTGTATGTCTATTACTCTCTTCTGTCTTGTCCAAGGAACCTCAACTCCCTTTCCTGTTGATATTGCCGGAAATCTGACTGTCGGTTATCTCAAGGACGCAATAAAGGCAAAGAATGCCATCGACTTTGCCCACGTTGACGCCAAAAACCTAAGACTTTGAAAGGTGGAAATCCTGGACGATCAAAACGACCTTATTCAGGGACAGACTTTACAAGACAACGATCAGTTACCACCGACACACTATCTCGATGAATATTGGACTACCACCCCAAAAAGATGACACATCCATGTAATTATCAAATTGCCACGTAAGTACTAAGCACAATATGCAAATTTTTTCGTATTTGTAATATTTACTCCAGACACGTCTATTTTCTAGTTTTCACTCTCGGAGAGGCGTTGTCGTATGTTACGCCACCTATTTACTATGCTCCGAACACTTCTAGCTCAACATCGTCTACTAACGCGGGTAGTGATCCCCCGATAGAAGTGGCGCTTTGGGAAACCTTTTTCGACGACGTAAATGGCTTTATTTTCGATTCTATCGATCCAAAACCAAAATTTGAAAAATCGCAATTTATAGATTACATGGATTTGCACTATGAAGAGGACGTTCGCAATGCTTTCAATACCAATATTTGTATAGTATTAAACAAGCTCATGGGGCCAGACTATGCATTTTCTAGATTGCAAGATCTGCAACCAGACATACCAGATTTTAATTGTCACTATACCATACAACTTATATTGTGTATTGAGAATAAAAGAGGATACGTTTTAAGAGAGATTAGTGGAAGAACCTTTTCAGAATTTTACGAATCGAGTTCAAAAGCAAAGATGATGATTCAGCAGATTTATAACTATATGTGTAACAGGCAACTTCAATATGGTATCCTCTTTACCTATGAAGATCATTTGTTTTTGCGTCGACCGCCTGAGACCCCATCAAAGCTTTTTGTTTTATCAACTCTTTCATCACAGTCGGAATCTCCAACGGTACTCAAAGCTTATGCATATATAGCTAAGCAAGCAAGAGCTAGCTTTCCTTCTCCCCATCCTAATGTAATCACGGTGCCAGACAGTGAAGGTTCTGATGCTACGATGCAAAATACACGGATTACTCGATCAATGGTTCGAAAAAAAGAGGACTTAACTCAGGGATCATCTTCCAACGACTCGGCAAATCAGCCAAATCAGCAGAACCTTGGCTTTGCGGACTTCGAGTTTAAGAGCTTGTTAGGTGAAGGACAAGGTGGAAAGACACTACTCTGTGAATTCCGTGGAGAAAAAATTGCCTTGAAGACTGTGGATCTATACAAAGCCTCACCAGATATCTTGAAAGAAATGCAGAAAGAAGTCAAAATCTATAAAGATCTCAAAGACATTCAAGGGAAACACATTCCAAAATTGGTATGTTATGGCTACTATGAAGGTGGATGGTGCTATGTCATTGGTACAACTCTTGTTGGTACGCACTTAAGTAATGATAAGAAGATAACGACACAGCAAAAGTCTAAGGCTCTTAAGGCACTAAAAGAAATTCACAAACGCGGTGTACTCCACAATGACATCCGGGAGGAGAATATTTTACTTGGTAGTGTGGGTCGTGTGTATCTGATCGACTTTGGGATGGCGGATCGACCTGATCCAAAGAAAAAGATGAAATTGTTTGAGGGAGAGAAACTTGAATTGTCACGTTTGTTAGACTGTTATGCTGTGTAAGAATTTCTTGTACCATCAATTTATATTATGTATTTCCTGCATTTCCTGTTTCAAAATAGCAAACATTTATTCTGTAATAAAACTGGATGAGAATCGTGGGGTCCAGTTTCACATGACTTAAAAAATAAATAATCACAGTGCGCCGGAATCAGATGATTATTTCATTTTATCTCTACCCACCCTGATAATAAATACAAGGCAAGAAATCGTATTTACAATGATAGCCTTTCTAGGACAATTTGCGTAAGAAGACCCAGAAGGCCAGAGTTATATACAGTATACATTATTTGGAAAAATAGGCTTGAAAAAGATCAAACGGATTCATGCCTATAGTGCAGATTCGATTTCTCAGCTGAATAGTACCCAAATTAAAAGTATCATAGATCATTTTTGCACTTCCACGTAACACATCTTGCCTGTCATATGACATCGTGGACTAAATGTCCTGATATCGCAAATAAGTGATCATTGTGATTCTTGATATAACGGCAGACAAATTTGGGTTAGTATATTTTATAGCTCCACTATGTAAATATATAAATCACGATCGCGTGTCAGTCACAACTATATTTTTCTCGGCAAAAGTGAACTGTTTCGGTAATTTTTAAACTCGATAATTTAAATAAATCTGCACCTTATATAAAAGTTGTTAACAAAACATGTCATCAGAGCTTGAATCTCAATCTGCTCAATCCAAAATCGATTCGTTGCAAGAATTAAATTCTCAACTCATTGTCACGATTGCTGAGCTGAGAAAGGAGAATGCCGAGATCAAAGCCGAGAATACAAAATTGAAACAAGCCATAGAAGAAAATGCTGAGCTCAAGACCAGATTCGAGGAGTTAGAAAAGAAAAATAAAACAGATACCGGTAATCTCATTGCTGAAAATGTTGAGCTTAGAGACAGGGTTACGAAATTGGAACAGAAGCAGACACAAAATGATACCGTACACGTATTAGAAGATTCTATTCTCCACGAAGCATCATCTGATATTTCTTCCAATATTCATACATACTCGTCTGAGCCTAAATAATCGGAAAATAGAGATCGATGAGTTTCTAGATTTTAAAAGTAAGGAAAGAGTTAGTAGCGAGATAAAATAACGCAATAGGGAGAAGAAGCTTCGAGATCAAGGCCTATCTTTGGTTAGCCATAAGAAAAAGGGAACTGATAAACTCCGGTAAGAATTATTCAATACTTCTTTAAAGCCGAGTTCGCAAGATCACTATATCAAAAAATTTTAAACCAGGACAGATCGAAATTTCCGAGATGGCCCGTCCCGGAAAATTTGAGGGCATGGATGGTTCTGCGAAGTGTATTATTAATTCATTCGACATTAATGAGGTATCACAACATTTAGCTCAGTTGTGCGATACAGCCATAGGCGCAGAAGATCGAGCTTCGAAGGCTAATCAGGAAGAAATCATGTGCTGGTCTCTTTATGGTAGGGATTTTGAATTTCAAGTTGGTGAGATGAGTAGTAAAAATAAAATTGGCGAGAAAAAAGCAAGAACCTTGATTTATAATGAAATTGAAAAATAAACTCTGTATTCTTCGTAAAAAACGATCACAAGACTTGGACTTACAACTTCCAAATATATTACGAGATACCTTGCGCAAAAAAACTCAAAGAGCTGTAAAAATTTATAAGTTATTCGAAAAGATAGGTCTAGATAAAATTAAACATATTAAGAACTATAGTGCAAATTCTATCTCGGAACTTCAAATTCAAGAGATTATTAATCATGGTTTAGAGAGCCAAATCTCTAATTCTCCTTTACTTGAAATCACACCTGAAGTATCTTCTGAAGATAATATAATTGAAATTTCCGGGACAGCCTGTCTCGAAAAGGCTTTATTAGAAACCGAGATAAATGTATCATCTGCATCACGACCCAAGAAAGATCTACCAAAAGTAGAGGTAAATGTGCCATTCAAATCTCAAACCGAATCAAAGACCTTACCTGAAAATAAGAATAATCTGACCCATGACCGTGCTATTTTCCGCAATAAAGCATTGGAACAATGTCCTGATCTATATTATGAATTTAGTGATAAAAATATCGATTATTACAGAATTACTAACGGGGCACTATGCCCAATATGCAAATTAGAACATAATGAAGAGGAAAGTATAGAAGGTAGATATGAAACTGGGGAATCGGAGATTCGATGCTCTGTATCATCATTTTATATTAAATGTGAACAGCGCGAAATTCAAATTACTGTATAAACTTTAGATGCGAAGCAGTCCTATCATTTCGTTATGCTTTATAACTCATTAATATGCAATAAGAATGAAATAATATTTTTTAATACGGAATACTCAATGCGAGAAATTAAATTGCTTTGAGATTATATAAATGATAACATGGATATACAAGCCAAGTCTGATGAGGTACTAACCCTGAATATCTGGATTAGTATTCCAAATTAACTGATTTGCCAACCACTATATCTGATAAACTTCGTTCCAAGTTATATAAAATATATAAGAAAAAAACTGGACTCGATCCTTGGATAAAGTCTGAAACTTCTGAATTCCCCCAATCGAAAAAGATGCTGAGGAGAAAGCTTTATTTGTATCGCAAATAAATGTTCAATCTACACCATCTAAATGACAATTCCCAATTTTTGTTTTACCTAAAGACCCAGAAGAAAGGCAACAACATGTTATTAACATGGTATTAGAGCAATTTCCTTATTTAACTTTGAGACATAGTTTTAAAAATAGTAATTATTTTAATTTTAATAGATTAGTACCCTGCCCTTTATATAATAAAAATCATAACAAAAAAAATATTAGAAATTATATAGAGGGCTTTTGGGGTAGTGGCAAATATTGTGGCAAAAAAACTTATTGTCTCTATTGTTATATAAATAAATATTAAAATTCAATCCAAATAGTAACAGTGAAAGTGTAGACTATTAATTTCGAATCAATAAACTGACTATTTTTTTTCTATTGCTAATCTCTGATTCGTGGATTTAGGCTTTTCAAGTCATTTCTTTGAAATAAAACACATGACATTGCTCCCAAGGCACATTATAACATGACATAGTGAAATAAATTAAATATATTTTTATTACGTATTATAACAATGAAAAAAATGTCTTATAAATTATGTGATCAGATTTTCAAGTATATAGATTTCAGTTCTGAAGAAATTTGCCTCCCAATTACAAAGGAAGATAGACAACTTTTTTGAAAATTAATAGCAGATTAAAAGGAGATAATTGATATTGTAATAAATAAGTATCGATTTTTACTTCATCACAGGCATAACTACAAGGACAGGAAATTAATACATATAATGTAGGTATATACAGTATATGTACTAAAAAAAATACTAAGAAAGTATTGATAGAGATATCTTTATAAAAAATATTATCTAGAAAGATTTTAGTTCACATCAAAAAAGATTCAAAAATCTTCTACTTACACCAGTTATTATAGTTAATTAGATAGAATACTATTCTGATATGCTTGTTTTTTATAAAGTTTTTGAATAAAAAAGTTAATCTTTTTTTTTTAATATAAATATGATTTTTTGAAAGTTTTATTAAATTGAAATCATATTAGTCTTTATTATTTTTCAAATATATTACACATTATCAATCTTGATCAGACATGAAATATACTGCTCCACAAATAAACCAATTATTTTTTTTCTATCACTAGTTGTTTATATTCCACAGGCTGATTTCTGACTTAATGATTTAAAATATATGACATCATTTTATTATAATGTAATGTGATTTTACAGTTACAATGTAGTTATAATTATTTTTAAATTGAATTTACTATATTCATTCAATTTATATATTTATGTATTATTTTTTGCATTAGATATATTTGACTAATCAAGATATTTTATTATAGCAAAAATAATAAGTAGTACTAATAATAAATCCAATTCTAATAAAATATTTGCCCTTTTATATGAAGTGTTTTATATAAGAAAAATAATATAACAGCTATTTAGAAAAAACTTGATATTAATAATAATATATTAAAGCAAATATAATACAAGCTTAATGAAAAAACACTTGCTAATTTATATAAGTTGCTATTATATTTGGTGAAAGATTTAATACTAATATAAAAAAATCTCAATATTGATGACAATTTCATTCTAACAGTGAAATATAATAATATAGCAAATCAAAACAATAGAAATTCTTCCAATTTGTTATTTTCAAAATTATTTAATTTGCTTTTATACCTGGAAAAGAATATAAACACAATTCAGAAAAAACTTGATATTGTTAATTATACTAATAAAGAAATAGTAAAAAAAGTTGATAAAATGTGAGAGTGTACTTTCAAAAATTTAAGAAATTTTATGGCCCCTTAGAAGATAATCTAAAAGTGTTAATAAAGAAATTTACTGATATAGAGTAAAAAAAATTTAATTTACTGATATAGAAATATCATTATTTTCAAATATCTTTTCTCAACAATTGCATAAAATTTTTGTCAAAAAATTAACTAGTACTAATCAATGCCATGTCTAAAATTAAAAGTAAAACAAAAAAAATTATTACAGATATATATACAAGGTGATTCAAAATTTTTTGGAAAAATCTTTTATTATTTAATTTCGTAACTATTGGACCAATCATGACACACAACTACTCATTAGAAAGGTAAGAACCTGTAGTTTATTTTAATAATAATTTTAGTAATCAATATAACCACTCTTATTCTTTATTACTAACTTACACCTAGTCGTTATAAATTTAACAACATTTTTTAATTTAATTTCCAGGATTGCATTCCATTCCTCCTTTAAAAATAATTCTAATTCATCTAAATTTTGTGAGGTTCTCTTTTCAATATTTGCCTTTACTATACCACACAAGTTTTCAATCAGATTTAGATCCAGGCTATTGGCTGGCCATTCAAAAATTTTGGGGACATAAGACTCTAAGTATAACTTTGCAACATGGCTTGTATGTTTTGGGTCATTGTCTTGTTGGAACCGTCATCTCTTTTCTATTAACACCTTGATATCCTCAATATTTTCCTCTAAGATACTTATATAGAATTCGCCTGTCATTATCTCTCTAAAACAAAATAAATTAACCTTACCCGCTTTACTAAATCCTTCCCACACAAAGATTTTTGCTTTATTTTTAAAAATTGGTATAATCAGTTGGAAATCCTGATATAGGATTCTAATCGATACCATTCGGTATGATATTTCATAAAACTGATACTGAAAATATTTTTTGGTATTGGTATCAGTAATTACCAAAAATTTTCAGTATGAAACTTTGCAATACCGATATCGAACTGAAAGTACTGAAATTATCGAAATTAAATAAGTTTATAGCATATATTTATCATATACAAAAATAATATAACTCAAACATATATATAAAGTTTCCAGTTTCACCTAAGAATTGATAGATTTGAACTTTTATTTTATTAAATAAATAAATTAGCCTTTACAAAAACAAATTACCATTGTCTCTTT